GGTTTAGGGTTTAGGAGTGCAGGGTGCGAGGTTCTTGGCTGTAGCCGTTTGGGTTGGGGGTTTTGGTATCCGCGACAGCTCAGCAAACAGCAACAGTTTTTTGAGGGGCTTTTTAGGGCTTGTGAAGTTTGAATTTATCGGACTTCTACTTGCGATTCGCTGGGGTTGCCCAAAGCAGCTTCGCAGCAACAGTCTTCTCAAGGGTTCCAACAGGGTGCTTCGATGTATGGACGTGTCGATGACCTCGGGGCTTGTGATGGTGCTTCTGCCACAGCCGTGTTTTGGCCCTTGTGTTTGGGGGGGGGGGGGGGGGGNNGGTTCATGTTGAGTTCTCATGGGTTCATGGCCGAAGCTCATAAGATAGAATCCTTAGTCTGGCCGTTGCTTTGGGATTCTTTCTCAAACAAAACCCCCAAAAACATCAATATATAAAAGTGAACCATGAACGACAACCCCAAACGACACTAAACACAAAGCCCGTGAACCCCATAGCCCGTATAGTATCCCCTACACTAGCTCCCTATCGGCAAAGCCAAGTGGTATTGATACTGGACTGCGCCAGGAGCGTCCCAGGATGTGAGCGCGCCGGTAACGGCAGCTGCTGCAGAAGATGCCAAAACAAGCCAAGAGAGAATGCAATCAAACGTTTAGAGTTTGCGACCTTGGGCTACCAGAAGCAGAAGTAGCTGTAGTGGTATTCTATTTGCATTGCAACTTGAGTCTGCAGTTCGGTGGCTTTTGATGCTGGACTGCGACTTAGCCAACGACGCTCACTGACTGCATCACATGTGTTGGTTGCTTTGTGCGTTGTGTCGAAGCCTTCTTTGCGCAAGCTGCCGCCACTGCGCCGGCAAGTACTTGTTGATGCCGAATCACCCTCAACCTTGAGAGCTAAGGACCCTGAGGTGCCAACATAGGTAACAAAGGGTGGAGGTCGAATGACAAAAAACCATGTAAGGGCGCTGTGTCACCGAAAGCCCGACACCGAGCACCCACACTACCGACTGTCATGTGAGTCTTCTGCACCTCACCCCTGACAGTGTGAACTCTAAAGAGTAGGTTTAGATGCAAGCCTGATGCAGGCAGACAAGCACGGAAACGGGTGATGATATGAATCCCGCATAACCCATGATAAGGAATAGACAATAATTCCCATA